GATAAACATATTTTATGTTGCTGGCTTATCCGCTGCTGCTCCGAACAATATACTTTGTTACGTTTTGTTTTGTAAAGTTATATTTTTCCAATCATTTTTGTGATAATTCATTAAAACAGTGAAATTCTTCTTAACATTGTTCCATTTGCTAAAATAAATACAGAAATATGGGGTACTAGTCTGTAAAAAAAATACATTTATTAAAATATAGAGTATGCATAAATTAATGTGTATATAAAAAGGATCTTTCTATTGAGCGTATTCTTCATGAAAGAAAGATTGCCTATAAGAAAGGGTTTCCGTGAACTTCTGTGTTTCTAATATGCAATAAGTATTGTATATAGCATTTTCAGTTTAAATGAAACTTTTTTCAAATTAAATGAAACCTTTTTCCGGTTAAGCGAAACCTTTTTCAAATTAATTGAAACCTGTTTCAGATTAAGCGAAACCTTTTTCAAATTAAATGAAACTTTTTTCAGAATCAATGAAACTTTATTCAAACCAAATGAAACTTTTTTTCAAATTAAATGAAACTTTATTCAAATTAAGTATTAAACATTTTTAAATTAAGGAACAGGAAATCGACTTAACCTATTAAGAGCTGTTTGCACCATGTCTGGCTAAGACTAAAGGCTCTGTTATGCATAGTTGGCATTGCTTGAGAGTTGTCACATACATCTCTGTTAAATGAGCTTCGCGTGTAAGCTGTTACCCAACGCACAGCATTACATACGTAGAAGTCTGTTGGTTTTTGATTTCTACGTTAAAATGGTATATCAGTGCATGCACCGCTAAGTATGAAGACACCAACAAGCTGCGTGAATTGCGTTTTTGTCTTTAAAATATTAAAACTGGTTTCTCAGCCGCTATGCATATGAAGAAAATATTTATATGTATAAACAAACAGTGTTGCCACTCAAAATTTTTTCCTACCACAATTGGCACAAAATAGCTCTCAGCCTACTAAAATGTGACTTTCATTGAAAATGTGATTTAAATGTTATAACTAGACATCGGAATTCTATGAAATTGCATATTTTTGTTTAGCATCCAAGAGATCCCGGACCAAGACAGAAGCTCGTTGCATTGAAAATGAAGAATATTTATCCCTATGCATATTTGCATATTTTCATATTTTTTGCATATTTGCACATTTTCATATTTTTTGCATATTTGAATATTTGCATATTTTTTGCATATCTGCATATTTCCACATTTTTCGTGAGTATATTTTTAATATTTTTTTTGAATATATTTTGCATATATAAAAATAATAATAGATTGGCGCTAACACAATTTGTGGCGTGCGCCTCGATGTTGCCACACAAAGCGGAGGGACCTACAGTTTTACGCCAACTCCGAACGGCGGTTGTATTTTTATAAGAAGCTGTTTTTCAAGGCAGAAATACACTCGGAGGTTTGCCATTGCCTGCCGAGGGACGACCGCTGTTAAGAAAAAATCTTTTTTCTAAATTTTTTTCGATGTTGCTTTGACCAGGGCTTGAAACCAGGCGTTGCGGAGTGAAAGCGCGCACTGCTTACCACTACACCACAGCGGCTGTCATTTTGCATATATGCATATATATATATATATAAGCATGCTTATGTTTATTTATGTAGTTGCATTGTACATACATATATGTGCTTTTTATTCGGTTTTATTTAGCTTGTACTGTAAGTTTTTGGGTCAAATCTAGTAATTGAGATTTCATCCCTTTCCTGTTGACCTATTAATCTCAAATTTGGTACAGGCCTTTAGTTCTGATGACAATATAATAACGTATATATATTCAGTAGCTGCGTTCCCTAACTCGCAAGAAGTTGCAAGAATTTACAGGAATTCGCCAGAAAGCGTTCCCGTACTCGGTTCTCTGGCTTCTTTTGCCTTTTGACAGTTTTACAGGTTTTAACCCAGAAAAGTTGGGGAACGTAACTAGTATCATTGTAAATCCTAGATTCCCGCCGCCACAAAATGGCCACGAAATGAGGGATTACATATTTTTTCACAACCCTCTCAAGAATGCAGTACATCATGAAAAAAGATCAGTCCAGCGCCTACGTCTTGACCTGCAGGCTGTGTCGGAGTCACAGCCGCTAAACTTAAACGTAGAATACGGGATATTATTAAGATCACTTTCAAGTTTAAAACGGTGCATGAAATATTCGTTTTGATTGTATTGAGTTGAATTTAATAAGTGAATATGAATTACAAATTATTAATACTTAGCAATAGAGAAGCAGATCCACAGCTTATAAATAGATATATGCCATGACGTGTATCAATATTTCGATTCCTTTTTATCTCTTTTTATACTGCAGAAATTTATATTACTTTTTATATTATATCCCCATGACGTG